CGCGGGTCGGAGGGAGGAGGATTGACTCTGGGTTAGTGTGCTTGTTGTCGGACCTCGGGTGGGGTTTCGAGCGGGAAGCACCATTCGACAACACGCATCCATGGGCATGGGTGTGTGTTGTTTGTTCAGCATTTTCGTAGGCTCTCGTCGCTTTTCCATCCTCAGAGTGCCTTCCAGCGGCTGCGCCTCGCCGAGAACGTTCCGGGAGTGCCTGGATCGTCCCGGACGGCCGCCGGGGAGCTAAGTTGTGGCCCGAAACCCACAACGGCGACCCTCCCTGCGTTTTTCGTTTATTCTGGTGGCCGCCTGGATGCTCTTCGTCGCCACGGTTGGATCCAGGTCCAAAAACATGTCAGGATTGACCTCAGGAGGGGTCTTGGGACCGATGCAGAGCGTATGTATGCCGGGCGGGAGAGCCGCTTGTGTCGCCTTTGGTTTTCATCCGACTCTCGCCCACAATCTCCCAGTTCCCCTCCCAAGCATCAGGCCAAATAGAAGAGAACAGAGTTTCGAGGACTGACGCCCCCAAATCGTACATCTCCGCGCTGGGCCCCAACCGCTTTGGCCCATCGGAAGTCCAAAGATGTCGGGGATTGGGGTCGCCGAGCCTCTTGTTACACTCTCGGGGGGCCTCCCCCGAACCCAAGACCGACCAGTCTGGGCCCCTGGAGCCTGGGGCATGGCAGCCCCCCCAGGGGAAGCGAGCACGCAAGTCCTCAATCGGAGGGTGCTCGGCAGGACGGCTTCGACGAGGGTCGGTAGCGATCGCTTGCAGTGTGCAGGTGTGGGCGGTAAGGACGTCCTTGCAGAGCCTGGCGGTCGTGGGAGCTAGCTGTGTCAGGAGGGAACAAAAACACACAGACACAATGAATCGTCGATTCCCCGGAAAATGTGGGAAAATATGGCCAGTGGGGGGGAAGACAGAAGCCCAGAAAATCTGGGAAAACATGGGGAATCCTGTGTATTTATTTGTGTGTCCCAGGGCCCCTTCATTGTGGGTCCCAGGGCCCCTTCGTTGTGGACTCTCTGGGTATGGATCGCACGAGAGTCGGCGCCAGTCGTTGCGATCTGTGTTTGGGGGCCTCCGTGGCATCCCTCGGGGGGTCGGCCGATCTTGGGATCCCGCCGAGTGCTGTTTGGGCCCCACGGGGCATGAGGTGTGTGCGGGGTGTGCCGGATCGATGCTCCCTGGAGCCGTCCCTCGGGGGGTCGGCCGATCTTGGGATCCCGCCGGGTGCTGTTTGGGCCCACGGGGCATGAGGTGTGTGCGGGGTGTGCCGGATCGATGCTCCCTGGAGCCGTCTTGAGAGCCGATCCGGGGGCCTCTCGGGGGTACGAGCTGTCTTCGGGGCCGGCTGGGCACCTCCGGAGGTCCACGAAGCACGAGGCGTGTGAGACTGGGTCCCGCATTGAGGCTCTCTCAGGCCAGCCACACCTGGGGGACCCATCGATTTCGACACCCTTCTCGAGGGATCGTCGAGGCGATGGGTTCCCCTAGGGGGGTAAGGACCACAGCTCCCCCAGTTGTGGCTGGTCGGTCTCTTCGCCCTCGGAGCGTCGATCCACCGAGGCTTCGCCCGTCCCGCCGTCTGTCCCACGAGTGTATCGGATTTCACGTGTCCGGGAGGGCGTGTGCGCGGATGCCCTCGTGATGTCAGAGTTCCTTCGGAAGTCCAGTGGGCACGAAGTGCTCGAGCGGTGTGCAACATCAGGAGTTTGTGCGCAGGTTCCTTTCTCTATGGCATCGATGGTGAATGGTGCACCGACTTGGAGCCCTCGTTGTTTTAGGAGCGCTTCTCACTCGTGTTTTCAGGCCTCCCAGGAATTCGTTGCAGTGTTGGCAAGACGGGCCAGCGCAATGCGCGCGGAGCCGCTCCTAGCATGCAGGTTGCATGCAATCTCATTATATCGAGGTCGCCTACGGCAACTCATTGCCGCCCCCTGGCTTTGGGAAGCACAGAGTTCTGTGGCCGAACGTTGTGGCCAGAGCTCCGACAAGCTATCGGACCACGTGTTTTTTCAGCTGTTGTGGAAACCCTTCGGGGAACACATGGGGGAAAGAGAATGAGGAGAGGGATGAGAAATGAGGAGGAGAAGGAGGAGGAGGAGGAGGAGAAGATGGAGGAGGAGAAGGAGGAGGAGGAGGAGGAGGAGGAGGAGGAGGGGAGGAGGAGGAGGAGGGAGGAGGAGGAGGAGGAGGAGGAGGAGGAGGACGAGGAGAAGAAGATGGAGGAGGAGGAGGAGGAGGAGGAGGAGGAGGAGGCTTCTTGGGAGCCTCTTTGGGTACTCTTGGTGCCTCCTGGGAGCTTCCTGGGGGCCTCGTGAAGCCCTCTTGGGGGCTTCCTTGAGTCTCTGGGGGGTCTTTGGAGGCTCCTTGGGAGGCTTTTTGGCCGTCTGAGGGTGTTCTTAGCCCGTCTGACTCCGTCCGTCGGGCACCGTCTTGAGGGCCTCTCTGGGCCGATTTGAGGGCCCTCTCAGGGACGTTTTGGATGCCATCTTGGGCGTCTTGGAGGTCTCCTGGGCCGTCTCGGGGCCCTCTTTGGGCCGTCTGGGGAGCATCTTGGGCCGTCAGGTGGCCATCTCGGAGGCCTCTTGAGCGCTTTGGGGGCCATGATCCGTCTCTAAGGCCTCTTGGGCGATCTTAAGGCTATCTTGGCCCATTTGGGGGGGCATCTCGGCCAGTCTTGGAGACATCTGCAGCCATTTCGTGCTCTCTTGTTGCCATCGTGGCCGTCCTGCAGACCACGTAGGTCGTCTTGGAGGATCGTGGGGCCGTCCGGAGCGGGACGACCGGCGCCCTGCGAAGTCTACGGGCCTTTCCTGGGGTGGAATGCAACATTTGTTTGGTGGCTAGCGCATTGGGCCGAGGAGGAAGAGGAGGAGGAAGAGGAAGAGGAGGAGGAGGAGGAGGAGGAAGAAGAAGAACATCTGGCGGATGACCAGGGTGATCATCAGAAGGAGGAGGAGGAGGAGGAGGAGGAGGAGGAAGAGGAGGAGGAGGAGGAGGAGGCAAGGGAGGGAGGGAGGGGCACGTACGACCACGGCGGGACGTCAAGAGAGCGCCCGCCACAGAGCACATGACGCATGACCACGATGGAATGCAACATTTTTTGGGTGGGAACCTGTCAAAAGGACCAAGAACGTTCAGAGTCCATCAGCCGTGCACCCGTGTGGCAAGCCGAGATGGGGTGGCGGATCTGCTGACCTTCGGCCCATCCCGCCGCCTTGCCTCGGTTGTAAGTCGGAGGCCTCTCGTGGCACTCTTTGCCGTTTTGGGCGCTCATGGCTCCGATAAAGTGTTGCGGGAAGCGCCGGGGAACCTCGGGTGTTGATACAGTGGAGACCCATGCCAAGAAACACCCTGCTTGCCTCCAGGGTGCCCTGAGTTCCTTGGGTTTCGACGGTTTTGCTATGGAAAGCGTGACGTCACCACACCAAAAGTCCATGGACGTCGTTGGGTCTCAGGGTCGGGTTTCTTGTGGAAGGTTTCTTGTGATCGGGCCCCTACCGTATTCAACCCTGAGGGCTGAGGATTGAGATAAAGACCGCGTTGGGCTCAGGAGGGGCTTCGGTTGTCGGGCCGTTCCTTCGATGCATGCCGTGGAACCTCTGCTTGTGGCCTGGGCGCTCTTTCGCCAAAGCGCCCCTTGGCTGGTTACTATGCGTTCCTTGTGGTATGCTGGCTGCGGGTGCTGACCCAAGGGTCACCTCCAAGACCGAATGGGTCACGCTCCACGCTGACCCAAGCCCCCGGCGGCGAGCGCAGATGCAGATCGCAGCCTGCCTTCTCGGCATTGCGGTGTGCGAGGCCACGGCCGAGCAGCGGAACGATTCAGGGGCAAGGCCATCAGGACGCCTACCTCTTTCCATGCAGCGGCCCTCCAAGTCGTCCCTCGCGGCACGGTGGCGGATTGACGTCTCCATGTCAGCCTTCAGAGTTGGTTCACCGCGGCCAGGCCCGCTCCGCTCCCGCTCCGCCATCGCAGGGGGCCCGCCGAAATTTGAGCCCGCAGCGTGGAAGTCGTCCCGCGTAGCTCTTTGACGCTTTTCGGACGAAGGTGCGCTGCGCTGGTGCGAGAGCTGCAATTCTGACGAAGGCCTCACGGCTGGTGCCGCCGACTCGACAGAGGGAACACGGCGACGACGATGATCGATTCGACGTTTTTCGGACGAAGGACGAAGGCGCGCAGCGCTGAGGCGAGAGCTGCAAATCCTGCGAAGACCTTACGGCCGGTGCCGCCGACTCGAACGAGGGACGACGGCGACGACGATGATCGATTCAACGTTTTTCGAACGAATGTGCGCAGCGCTGATGCCAGAGCTGCCGAAATTATTGCGAAGGCCTTACGGCCAGTGCCGCCGACCCGAAAAAGGGACGACGGAAACGACGATGAATTATTTGACGCATGTGTGCAATTTGTGCGCAACGCTGTGGCGAGAGCTGCAATGCGGAAGACTTCCGGCTGGTGCCGCCGACCCGAAACAGGAACGACTGCGACGACGATGACCTATTGCAGGCTTTTCAGACGAATGTGCGCAGCGCTGATGCGAAAGCTGCAAATGTTTGGAAGCCACTTGCGCTCCATCCGGAAGTTTCAGCTTCTCTTAGTGCGCGTTGTGAAGGCATCCCGGGTGTCACGCCCAGCTCGCCATACCGACAGAGTGCAGTGGTGCGACGGTGAGAATCCATTGGGCTCGCAGAACGGGAGTCACGGCGGCCCCCCAGGGGAAACTCGAGCGCAGACGGTTTGCATCCTTTGGGCGTTCGGGGTGCGGCTCCGACGAGAGGTTGGCATCGCTCGGGCGTGTGCATTTTTTCGTGGGTGAGGACCGAGGGGCATCTTGGGCCCTCTCTCGCGGACAAGTCAGCGCACGGAACCGACAAGTGCACACCGAGTGGACGTTCCAGCGCCGGCGAGAGAGTCGATGCCACTCGTGGCACCCTCGCGCGGGGGCCCTCCTGGCGCCGCCTCGGGTTTGCGCGGGCCGGCCCGCGCCCGCAGGAACCGGGAGGGCCTGGAGAGGCTCCTGCGCTCGCTGGCCCGCGAGCCGTGCGCGTGGGGCGACGAGGACCTCCTCGAGGAACTCCCGGGGGCGCTCGTCGGGAGGGACGTGCTCCACTCATTTTCCATGTTTTTCTTCCTCCTCCTCCTCCTCCTCCATATTCTCCTCCTCCTCCTCCTCCTCCTCCTCCTCCATCTTCTCCTCCTCCTCCTCCTCCTCCTCCTCCTCCTCGTCCTCCCTCCCTGAGATCTGGGCGCTTTCGCCAGGTTTGCGACCCCAGGACCGTCACATGTCGAGCTGGTTCGATCCAAGAGGATAGGGTGCAGGGCTCTGGTCGTGATTTCTCGCGATGTTGTGTTTGTCTCGCAACGTCGGATGTTAGGGTTCCTTCTCCTCCGCGTCCTCCCTCATCGCCTCCCTCCTCCGTTCTCCTCCTTCTCCTTCTCTTATTTCCTCCCCTCTCCTCCTCCTCCTCCTCGTCCTCCTCCCTCTCCTCCCCCTCCCCCGAGTAAGTCTCGGTGGCGCGTGCGTCTTTTTCAGAGCTGTGGGTGCTACCCGTTCGCTTCTGGAGCGAAAGCCTGGCACCTCTTCGGCAGCAGCACGCCGACGGGGTCGCCCGACCGGCGCGGTCATTGATGATGTCGGTGCCCTCCGAGCGCCTGCCGCGTGGCGTTGTGAGGAGCCATCGATTTGATGGGCCTGTTTTCCACCACCACCACCACCATAAGGTGGAGTGGGAGGGGGTCCTCCTCCTCCACCTCCTCCTCCTTCTCCTCCTGCTCCTCCTTCTCCTCCTCCGCCTCTTCGTCCTCCTCCTCCTCGTCCTCCACCTCCTTTCCCCCCTCCAGCTTATGGTGGTGGTGGTGGTGGAAAAACAGGCCCATCACGATTTCCCGCCGTCATCACAGAAACGGGCGCAACGGCCAGTCTGTGTGATGACGCCTTCGGCGCCCAGGGGCCGTTTCTTCCTGGCCCCGGGACCGTCCACAAAAACATCTCAGGGTGAAAGGTTGGCCCCCAGGGACAGTCGGGGGCAGTGCCACATGGGGCTAGTCTGACTCCCAATCGCCCATTCTTCGCCGATGGGGGCCCGGTAGGCCATTCCGCCCATGGGCCGTGCGGTTCTGTCATCGGGAGCTTATCGCCGATCTATCGGCGATGTATGGCCGATTCCAGCTCGACGTTCCCCCACCCTGAGCCAGATCCTCCCAAACGTTTCCCTCCAGAAGAGGTCGAGATTTGTAATCCCCAGGGGCCCACAAGACAAGACAAGCGCGACGTCGGAGAAGGGGAGCTCCGAGAAGGAGGAGGTCCCTGGAGCTTTTCGAACGTCTGGTGTGATTTGTCTTGAAGGTCTCCAGCCTCGGGATGCTTTCCTGCAGCTGCGCCTCGCCGTGTGCGTTCCGTGGGTGCCCAATGTGGCTGAAGATGTTCGAGCTCCAGGGACGATTTGGTGCAATTCTTCTGCTGGGAGCATCACATCTTCTTCACGAAATATAGCCAACCTGGCACAACCTGATTGTATCCGGCTCGGTTATGTTTAAATTTGGCAAATTTGTGTTGGAATCTGACACGATAGGGTTTGCTTGCAGCCGCGGGAGGAGGAGGAGAACGATAACGAGGAGGAGGAGGAGGAGGAGGAGGAGGAGGAGGAGAAGGGAGAATGCACAGAGAGGGAGGAGGAGGAGGCGAGGATTGGTGGCGCGCACGAGCTTCTGATATGCATCCGAGCCATATGAAGAAGGTGGCTGCCATTTCAGAAGGCCTCCCCCCTAGCGCCAGCACCTCCTGCGCGTCGCCCAGGGGTGGACGCGGAGCGAGCGAGCGAGCGGCTACATTGCACATCGGTGCAACGCAGGGCAGGAGTACGGATGCTGGGGGGCGGAGGAGGAGGAGGAACAAGGAAGAGAAAGACAGAGGGAGGAGGGAGGAGGGAGGAGGGAGGAGGGAGGAGGGAGGAGCATGAGCATGACCATACATGACTATGTCAATTGGAGGAAGGAGGGAGGAGGGAGGGAGGGAGGGAGGGAGGGAGGGAGGAGGAGGAGGAGGAGGAGGCGGAGGAGGAGGAGGAGGAGAGAGAGAGAGGGAGTTGCAAAGGAGCAGGATGGGGGAGGACGGAGGAGGGAGGAAGGCCAGCAGGGAGGACGGCCGGCATGGAGGGGCGATGGGGGAGCCGCTCGCGCCGGGGCGACGCCCGCGCAGGACCTCGAGGCCATCTCGGCGGCCGTGGCCGTGGTGCGGCGGCCCGGGGGCCCGGGCTCCCCGCGCAGGCGCAGCCCGCCCGCATCGCCGCGCTGCGGCCTGCCGCGCAGCCCGCGCCGGGGCCGCGCGCCGCAGGCGAGGGCGGAGGCGCCCGCCGGGGCCCGGGCCCTCGAGAGGAGCCGGGGAGGCAAGCAGCGGCGAGGCTTCCAGGCTGGCCTCGGTGGGCCCGCCAGAGATCGGGGGCGGCCAAGAAGCAAGCAGTGGCGAAGCGTCCTGGCTCGCCGATAGCCCTACCAGACAATGTTCTAAGAACCTGCCACGAGATGTGCCAAGAACATTTCTGGCTGGGACTGTCTTGTTTTAACGCATCGGCCTTATGTTCTAAGAGCATTGCTTTCTTCTTAGAACTTTTTTGGGTTCTAAGAACACTTCGTGGTAGGATTATAGGAATGCCGGGAAGAGAGCGTTGTGTGGTTTGCGCGAGGTGGTCTTCGAACCCTGTCTGGCCGAGGCCGCTTTGTTTGTGCATCGCCTTGGTGTTCTCAGAGCAGTGTTTCTGTTTTGGGAGCATTCTTGTGTTCTGAGCACATGTCTTGGTAGGCCAATCGGATTGCCTGGGCGGTCGGCCCGTGCTCGACGCACCCGCTCGGACGAGCTGGGAGGACCCTGCTCCTGTCGCGCCGTGGAAATCAGAGGAGGAAGAGGTATTTTAAATTTCATAATAGTGGTGGGGGGGGGGGGGGCAAAAAAGTGTTTGACGGCCGGTCTGGGACCCCCCAAGACAGGCAACAAAAGGTCCAAAATCGAGACCCCCCCCACAAATGTGCTTGACGAAGCCCGTGAGACCCCCCCCAGAAGCAGACCCCCCCCATTGTTATGAGATCCGGAGTATCGGCACCGCTAGTTACTCCTTCCTCGGTTTCCTTTTTGGGGGCCTCATGGGAAGCCCTCGTCGCCACGGCTGGATTCGCCTCGAAATTCTGGATCCAGAAAGTAGCGGTATCGTAGACGCCTGCCGCGAATCACCGCCGCCCCCTGCTTGTTTGGAAGCGCCTATGTGGCCGAACGTCGGCCAAGCTATCGAACTATGTGTTCCCGAAGCCGTTGTGGAAACCCTTCGGGGAACACGAGGGGGGGAAAGAAGAAAAGGAGTAGGAGGAAAATGGAGGAAGTGACCTCTTCGGGCACTCTCGGGGTCTTTGGAAGCATCCTGGGGTCTCTTTGATGCCTCATGGGGGAGCCCTTGAGCCACTCGTGGAGGGCATTCCTGGCTACTCTGACGCCGTCGGGAGCCGTCTTGGGCGGCCACTCTAGGTTCTGGGCCAACTTGGAGCCTTCTTTGGCCGCTTCAGAGCCGTCTTGGAGGCCATCTTGGGCGTCTTGGAGGCCTCTTGGGACGTCTTGGGGCCGTTTTGCGGGCCTCTTTGGCCGTCATAGGATCTCTGGAGGCCTCTGGGGCCGTCTTGGGCCGTCGGGAGGCCGCAACGGAGGAAATGCCCAAATCCGTCAAACACCGAGTGAACTTTTATAACTTGGACCTCTTGAAGGTCTGCCGTCTTGGAGACTTCTTCGTGGGGGCCTCTTCGGCCGTCTTGGGCCATCTTGGGGCCATCTCGGGCCATCTTGAGTGCACATTGGGCCGTCTTGGAGACACCCTGCGCCCAGCTTGGGCTCTCTTGTGGCCTTCTTGGTCGTCTTGGTGGCCGTCTTGGGCGTCTTTGGGCAATCCTGGGGCCTTGGGGGCGTGTTGGGCCGTCATGTGGCGTCTTTGGAAGCTTTCCGGGCCATCCGTGGGCCATCCGAGGGTGTTTTTGAGCCGTCTGGAACTTTGAGGGTATGCCCCATAAGGGGTACATACATGATCCGGGGCGCCTGGCCCACGGCCCCTCCCCCCCAAGATGGGATGGGTCTAATGGTCGTCCAGGGTGGCGTTTCCCAAGTATTTTTTCTAGTGACGCGGCTCGCGGGTGCCTTTCACGGCCCTTTTCTTTTTATTGTTGTTTCCGAATGAAGCGGCTGAAGGGCTCCAAGGCAGCTCAAGAGAGCACCAAACCGACCCAAATACGGCCCCACGAGAGCTTCGGATGGCCTCCAGACGGTCCAAAGGAGCCTCCAGACGGTTCCAGAGAATTTCCAGAGAATTTCCAGAGAATTTCCAGCATGGGTTTCATTATAGTTCTTGCAGGTTGTTCGGGTTCTCGCCTTTTTCGGTCCAGACGGCCCAACAGGCCCCGTACATCGTTCTAGACGGCCCAGGAGGCCCCCCAAAAGGGCCCGACAACGGTCCACGAGGGCCCCCAGACGGCCCCGCAGGGACCCACAACGGCCCAAGACGGCCCCAGAGGGACCCAAGGCAGGCCCAAGAGAGCCCCACGAGGTCCAAAGAGGGCCCACAGAGGTTCCCAAAAGGGCCCCAAGTGGCCCCAACGAGAGCCCCAAGACGGCCACAGGCTTCCACGACGCCTCAGGACGGCCCACAAGGGCCCCAAGACGGCCCAATGTTGGCCCCCAACGGGCTCCGAAAGGGCTCCCCACACGGGCCCCCAGAAGACCCCCAAGAGGCCCAAGACACGCTCAATAACACTATGTCTCCAATCAGCGAGCGGGGACGTTGCAAGCTCGTTACACCACGGCTCCCAGAGCGCGGTGACGTCAACAGCTCGAGGAGGAGGAGGTGGAGGAGGGGGAGGAGGAGGAGGAGGAACGATGACGAGGCCAAGGGAGGAGGAGGAGGAGGAGGAGGATGAAGGAGGAGGAGGAGGAGGAGGAGGAGGCGGCGGAGGAGGAGGAGGAGGAGGAGGAGGAGGGAGGAGGAGGACACGGGAGGAGGAGGAGGAGGCGGAGGAGGGGGAGGAGGAGGGGAAGGAGGAGGGGCATGATGAGGAGGAGAAGGCGGAGGAGGAGGAGGAGGAAGAGGAACAGGGGAGGCGTAGGATTGTGAATAATAGTAGTGCTGAGGCGAAGAAGAGTCATACTAGTAAGAAGGACAATACGCATAATAATAATAAGAAAAAGCTGGGGCGAAGAAGACCACTAGTACGAATCATACGTATAATAACAATACGAATAGTACTACTACTAATACTAACCTTAAGAGTACTTGTAATACTGCGAAGAATACGAAGAAGAAGAGGAGGTGGAGGAGGAGGAACAATAGGGAGGAGGAGGAAACAGAGGAAGATAATGAGGCGAAACATGTTACTACTGATTGTAAGAATACTATCAAGAGGAGGGGAAGGAGGAGGATGATGTGGAGGAGGAGCAACGCTCTTAACTGAGAGCGGTGACGTAGTACGCGCTTGCCAGCAAGGCTCCCAAGAGCGAGCGGTGACGCAACAAACTCTTACCACCAAGGCTCCCAAGAGCGAGCGGCAACGCAAGCATCTCTGGGCACGAGGACTCTGAACAGAAAGCGTTGACGCAACAAGCTTTTCCCAGAAAGGCTCCCAACAGAGAGCGGTGACGTAACACGCGCTCACCAGCAATGCTCCCAAGATCGAGCGGTGACGCAACAAGCTCTTACCTCCAAGGCTCCCAAGAGCGAAGGGTGCCATGAGCCATATCGGGCAGGTTGCTGAAGCGCTATTTCCGTTCCCGTGCCTGCCCAGGTAACGGAAAGAGCGAGGTACGAGTGATGACGTTGTGTCTCTCTAGGGAGGGGTCCAGGGGAGGGAGGGGGAGGGGCGTAGGGATGAGTGTTAATGGCCGTTTCCGGGTTTTCTCTTCGGTTTTTGTATGTTTTTCGGGTTCTCTTTTTTTTCCGTCCCAGAAGAGCCCAAGACAGCCCCAATACGTCCCAAGAGGCCTCCAAGACGCCCCACGAGGCGCCCAAGAGGCGTCCAAAGAGGGCCCCACGAAGCCAAACTCATTGATTTTCTTTTGGGAAGCGTGCATTTTTAGCATATACGGCTTTTCAGTTTTCACGGCGTTGATGACGACGGCCCAAGAGGCGCCCAAGACCGCCCCAAGACGGCCCAAGCGGCTCCCAAGAAGCCCCCAAAACGGCCCAAGAGGGCCCCAAGACGGCCCAAGAGGCGCCCAAGACGGCCCAAGAGGGCCCCAAGACGGCCCCAAGAGGGGGACCACGATCCGAAAAGTCTAGCCGTTCGCCCCAAGACGCTCCCAGGAGGCCCCAAGAGACCCCCAAAACAGCCCCAGAACGGCCCAAGAGGCGCCCAAGACGGCCCAAGAGGGCCCCAAGACGGCCCAAGAGGCGCCCAAGACGGCCCAAGAGGGCCCCAAGACGGCCCCAAGAGGGGGACCACGATCCGAAAAGTCTAGCCTTTCGCCCCGAGAAGCTCCCAGGAGGCCCCAAGAGCCCTCAAAGAAGCCCCAAGAGGCCCCCAAAAGGGATCCAAAAGGGCCGCAATAGGACCCCCAAGAAGGCCCAGAGACGCCAAATAAAGAGCGATCGGTAACGCAAAAAGCTCTTCACACCAGGGCTCCGAGAGCGAACGGTGACGTAAACAAGCTGATAAGACCAAGGCTCCCGACAGAGAGCGGTGACGAACAAGTTCCTGACACCAAGGCCCGGCCAAGGCTCAGGAACGGGCGGCAACGCAACAATCTCTGAACACCAAGGCTCCCAAGAGCGAGGGGTGACGTAACAAGCTCTCAACGCCACGGCTCCCAGTACGAGCGGTGGTGTGAATAATTTCGGTCAAGATTCTGAAGCGCTCTTTCCGTTTCTGTGCCGGGCCAGGCCTAACGGTTGTCGGCCAATCGCGCCACCGTGCTTGAATTGTGGGTCATAGGCCTCTAGGATGTTCGTCGGGATGTTGCGGGAAACCTCTCGAGGGCCTTGTGGAGACAGTTTCGAGGCGTCTTGGGATAGGGCATCTTGGGAGCCTCCTGGGGGTCTTTCGGGGTCCTCTTCGAGGCCTCCTGGGGCTTCCTGAGGACAGCTTTGGGACGGAAGGCTCGACGTGTTAGTTCGGGCTCCCGCTCTTGGGCGCATCTTGAGCCTTCTTGGGCCGTCTTGGGCGTCTCTTGGACCCGACTAGAGGCCATCCAGTGCGTCTTGGACCAATCGTTCGGCGATTCGGGGCCCTCGTGGACCGTCCTGGAAGCCTCAGGGGGCGCTCTTGCAGTCTGGCATTTTTGCGCCTGGAAAAAGTCACGCGACATGACGCCCGCGGAGGCCCAGGGTGCACGTGGCGGCCCAGGGGGCACGCGGCAAACCCCATTTGAGAGCCAGGGTCCG